GTTCATGGATTTGGGAAGGCTATTAACTCTGAGTCCCAGGGGGTTTAGCATAAGAGGCCCACAGGGAAGTCAAGAGAGGTGTAAAATCAGTGCATCTTGTGTTCACTGGGCTCAATGTAGGAATCTATGTACCCCACAAAACAAATATACACTTAATGCAACATATTCTTAGTAATGAAAGAGTTAAAATAAAAATATGCCTGGAATTTGAGGAGTTAAAGTGAACAGTCGGTGTTTTTGATTCAAGATTAATTCATAAAAATGCAGCTGATATTATCACAGGGTAGCAGATAGTCAGAAATAAATAACGAAAAAATGTACATAAGCTGATATAAGCTGAAAATGTATGCCCTTTTAAACACATAAGTTAATTAAGTTTAAGCATATAGATACAGACAATATTATATGAACACTGATTTCAATTTTAATATCCAAAGACATTTAGTTATATTTCTATAGAAAGGGTTACCGCATAGTTATCTTCTTTGGGTATGACGTATTATTTCTTCACACATAACAGGCCCCAACATACTAGGAAAGGTGGAGACCAGAAGCTCTGTGAGGAGTGGCAAACATCACTTCAGAGATCCTGGGTAGTTAGTTAGTGTTCTTGAGATATTTCTTCTGGTGCAAACAGGAGTGTTGAGAAATGAACAGGTAGATGAACTGGGTGATTCTGCACTAATGGGTCATGAATCTATTCATGACAAGCTAGATGTTGTCAAAGCCTATTGGGAGCAAGTTAACAATGCAGAGGCAGGGATAAATCATCATGGTCTAGGGTGAGTTGTACAGTTTGGAGTGACTAGAGGATCTGATCAACACTCTACACTCAGAGGAAAGACAATATGGACACATTATCAAACTCCTACTGGCACCTTCAGAATTGGAACACTTTCCTGGCTGCTGAGAATGAAGACGAAATGCTTATGGTAATGTGTCTGTCAGTTCTTAGCTCAACAACAAGGCCCTTTTATTCCACATTACTTTTCCTTTCAAAACAATTTCCCCAAAAAATCTGAAGATTATCTAGTTATCTATTTTTGTTAGGCTGAGGAGGATTCATTGCTGTACTGAATGAAAACAATCTGGCCACTTCTGGGAATTGAACCAGATTCTCTGTCTTGACAAGCAAGCATTTATATTTCCATTAATGCTATTGACAAATTTGGGAGCCTTGGTGGCATAATTTCTAGATGCTTGACTGCAGGCCCCAAGGTAGTGGTTTCAAATATAGATCCGGTCAGATTTGGTTTTTTTTTTAAATTACCTTAACTTTCATGTTATTCAAACTGAAAAAAAAAAGGTACCAGGTAAAGTTGAGTTTAGTTTAGTTGACAGATCAACATCATGGCAGACGGTTGAAACCAATAAGTGCCCCATTACACTTTCAACTCAAGCCTGAGTTAAAAGTAACTCAGCACAGTACACGAACTCTGTTGCACCAGAAATACTTTGGGTAGATTTTCAACTCCAAATTTTGCCAAAGCAGGCCATTAGGCTAACCAGGTAAAATACTGAGAAGTAAAAGATCACATAGGCCTCACATTCAATCCTTCCGCTCTGCTCGATTACATGCAACTTTCTGCGTTTCTTACATGGAGAGTTCGGCCTAGCATTTTTTGCCTCTCGTAATGATGTTCTTCTTAATGTTTCCCTTGGGCATCATCTTTTTCTCAGACCATTTGTTTCCTATCTCAGTGCCTATTTTGTTTTAAAAAAATTCATTTCACAGCTGATACAGGTATTTGTCCAGACATTTATCTGATTTTCTCACTCATTTATGAATTCATCACATTTTATGTTCATGATTTTTCTCAGACATTTATCGGATTTCCTCACTCATTTATGAATTCATCACATTTTATATTCATGATTTTTCTCAGATATTTATCTGACTTCCTCACTCATTTATGAATTCATCACATTTTATATTCTTGATTTTTCTCAGATATTTATCGGATTTCCTCACTCATTTATGAATTCATCACATTTTATATTCATGATTTTTCTCAGACATTTGATTTTAAATGCATTTACCTTTTGTTCCATATCTTCTGTGGTTCTTCAACTTTTGCTGGAATATGTTAAAACTGAAATAACATTAGAATTGAAGATTTGTAGTTTGGTCTTAAAGCTGTATGACTTGGAACTCCATATTTTGTTCAGGCTTTTTTAAAGACCTGTCGTGTGACGTTGACCACATCAAAATATGAGTCTAACACCATGTGCCTGATGTGCCGCTGGTTTGAAAATGGTCCTTGACTTAAATCTCTTATATATCTGATACTATATTCTTCTTCTTCAAAGTGTTCACTGGATGTAAACTCTGGCGGAAAGTTTTGGTTGTTAGTACAAGATACACCCCAGTTGTCTCTACCTGATTTACAATCTCCCCCCCCCCCCCTTTTTTCTCATTTCCATCACACCCTCTCTCCAAAAAATAAAATAATCCCATATTGTTAGACCACATCTGTTTTCAAACGTAGAAACATATTTATTTTAATTCTTTGTGGTGTTATGCGTAACAGTGTCTCAATACATAAATAATGTAACAGTTTCAGGGTTTTTACAATCAACAAACTTGCAATGTTTACAACATATCAAATTCACATAAATGGATTAATATTTCAATCAAGGCAATATAGATATCATTAATACTTCAACCAAGGCAACATAAATATGTTCAATATTCAAAACAAGGCACACAAAAATACAAAGAAAAATGCATGTACTCCAGAGAAAATAAATTATTGAAAAACAACATAGGATTCACAATTGACCTCCATCTCTTGGTTTTGATTTCATGGCATACCATAAATGCTTTATAGAAAAGACAAATCCCATGGATCACTTATATATACATCAAACATCAGTCAAATAAAGAAGATAAATCCTAAAAACAGATTAGATTGATTGGATACAGGGAGCATTGATATTATACTGTGAAATTATACATTTATGGCCTTCACCCCTTCTTCAAATCAATGTTTTGATCCAGTGTATGTACATTAGAATCTATAAATAGTATAAATATTATTTTGTGTGTAAGTTATCTAGTTTGCAACAGCTATCAGCAATCAGCCTAATTATATTTTTTGGGGGGGATTTTATTTTTCAACCTTGATCCAGAAGCCAGACATATGATCCACTCTAAGAAACTTATAGGAGTGTTATCATTTCTTCCTCTTTGTCTTCTCCTTCTCCTTACAAATTGTTAAACCTGCACAAACATATTTAAAGAAAGCAGTAGTGAATTTAAGCTTGTTTATATCTCTATATTGTACTCAAAAGGTGCTGTTATATGCTAAAGCTAATTTCCCTTGTGTGAATATGTTAGACATAAATGTTTACCTGTTCTACAGTTGTACTAGATCCCTTAGAAAACAAAGGACTAAGGACAATGTTGGCTGCAGAAGGTTATTACCTGCCTGCCATTACTGCCTGTAAATAAAGTAAAGGTCCCTTTTCGTGCCTTTAGGCGCCTCGGGCATATGGGAAGAGCACTCATATTTTTTACAGACCAGCAGCACTAGGTGGGTAATGTGGTCAGCATTACGCCGGCCGTCTTTACTTCCTCAGGACAGCCATCCTGGTACCCATTTTAGGCTGGGCCGACCTGCGACGCCCCATACCATGATAAAAATCCACGCAGCCAGCAGTGGGTTTTGATCTCATTATTACTGCCTGTAACTATGTATTTTTTCTCTCCCTCAGAATGGGGGTTAGGGAATTCACACATGAAACTCTTTAACATCAATATGTTATCCAGACTTTCACTCTTTCTGTTACAAAAAATGTTCTTTCTGTGATAAGCTTCTTTGTGTATCATACACCAGATGATGCATTACTATATCTTTAACATTTGGCCTCAGCATACTAAGGACGCCTGTTAAGATATTTTAACACACAGTACCCCATGTGTTGCCACTTTGAAACTAGTATGCTGATGTTATTTCATTGTGGTTAATATTTTGTTTAGGCATTTTTGAAATATTCTGGGGCTGAGAAAAATCAATATAATCTAAAGAGAATATTATCTCACAGTGTGAAATATTGGCACTAAACATAAACTAGGACAGGATACCATAAGCTGTGGTGATTCACCTTTATTTAAATAAAATGCTAACTAAAAGATGCAGTACTCACTGCCTTACGGAAAATGAAATACATTCAAGCATACCACTGTTGAAGATTAGACCTAAGACCACTAAAATATGTGACAGCACTAAACATTACACAACCAAAGTTATCCTGGTTTGAATTCACATGAAAGCCTGAGTAGTCCAGATCTGCCACCACATAATTTGCCACACTATCATATAGCAGGTACTTTGTAAAATTATGTTATCATAACATGCCAGATAGTCATTTCAATCATTGCCAGCTTTCAAGGTGCTAGTTAATCTCTGTTCCTTCCTCCCTAAAAACTATACATACAGGGTCTTTTCGATTTATGACTGATTTCTGTTCTGACTAGCAGGTCACAAGCCAAACTAGTCCCAAGGTGAATTTATATTTTTGTATCAATATTTTATTTAAATGGGTTATAAAAATTGTGCATAAAGCACATTTAAATCTATGCATGTAAAATTATTGTAAATTATATAAAAAAAATATAATGTTTACTCAGCTTATCAGTTCCAGGAAATTCTTTACCCTACAGTTCCTGGAAATTTTGTACCCTACAGTTCCTGGAAATTTTGTACCCTACAGTTCTTGGAAATTTCTGACCCAAACAATCTTTCTATATTTACTATTTCTATTTTTCTTTTTTTTTTTTTTTGTGTGGTCGTGAGTGCGGATGGTAGCAATTCCTATAGCTTGTGAATGGAGGAGAGGATTTATAAGCATCCCACTTTTTATACTGGACTGTATGATTTTGGAAGCCATACTGAACTGCAGCCAAATTCACATGTTCTAAAATGTATAAAAGCTACTAACATATAGCATGTATGAAATAAAATACCAAGCTACTCAGATGTAGCAGTGTATCTCCGCTAACTGTATGGTACAGGAGCCATGTAGTTTGCTGGGGCATACCCACGTTTACCTTCAGAATCCACAAGCCACCATTCACTGTTGCCATCCAGGTCATGGAATGTGAGCACTGTGACAGGATGCCCTGCTGTTAGTGATGTTTCATTCGGCTGGCGAGGTTTGAAGTCATATAGGGCATAGTAATACTGAAATTTAAATGTGAACATTGTATCAGTAACTAGGTCCATACTAAGAAACACATTAAATACATGTGCTGGCAAAAACGGTCCTGAAATCCCATGCTATAAATGTGAAATTGTGGACCTCAACAGGTGAACTCGAAAGGAAGATGCAAGCATTGGAAATATGATATTTCAGAAAAATTCTTGGCATAGCATAAAGAGATCACATTACAAACAAAGAGAGTTGGCCATATAATTATACAGCACATTGGCAACTATGAACCTCTTTTAACTACAGTGAAAAGGCAAAAAATGCAATGGTATGGACATGTAATAAATTCTAACGGCCTCTCAAAAACAATACTGCAGGGCTCAGTAGAGGGAAAGAGGAAAAGAGGCAGCCCAAGAAATACCTGGTTACTGACTTGACAGGCCTCAGGCATGAAATCATGGTCCATTGTCAACATCTTGCCAAAAGAGGAGAAAGCTGACCAGGCGGTAAAAAAAAATTGGTGACCTAACGACACACAGTGTTACAGGATGGTGACTGACAAATTGAGAATGATCCTTCTTGATGTGAGTGAATCTCAATAGACACTCTCGCCTGTGATTCCTACGTCTCCTTAAAGCACTGTATAACACTATATTGTCTGGAAAGACAGAGAGGTGGCAACTAACAACTATCATTAACTGGGCATAGTAATACTGAAGTATAAATGGGAATGTTATGGCATGAAACAGGGCATGTATAATTATGTTACCAACATTACAGGAACTGGTGTCTGTGGTTTAAGCATTGCTAATGTGCTTCCTAATTCTGAAATACCAAGTTCAATTCAGTTGCAGGTGATTTGGCAGCAGACTGCTTTGAAAAATTCTTCTTCTTCTTCTTCTTGTTCACCGGCTGTGAATTTCCGGCGGTAAGTCGCTGGTTGTTCGTCCAAATGGACTTATTTAAAAAGGCATGGAGTGCCAACCATTCAAAAAACAATGGCAAACTACTGAAAGTAAAATTGCCTAGTGAAAACACAAATGGCCAACAACAACAAAAATGCTGAAGTTGATCCAGCAACATCCTGTAAAGGATATGCAACTGACTCTAAACAAGGCATAATAATGTGACTGTTATAGTAATAGGAAAAAGTAGATGTGAACATTGTACCATGGCCTAGGATATGTGAAGGCCTAAACTTCACACCCCACTGGCTGTATCTGTTACATTGCAGAACCTTTCAATGCAGTTACTGTATTAATTGCAGATGGCTGGCCCATGGATCATGCAGACATTGTCAATGCCCTTATAGATATAGGACGTTCGGAGGATTTTGGAAGCAACATGTCCATATCTCTGCTAAGAATATGAGAACTTGGAGTAAAGATCGGCACAGCCAAGCATGAGAAGCACAACAGAAGCACATGAAGTCTTGTCAACCAGAGGACTGACACCATTAACCGTGCAACGCTGATGAATATGTTGAAGGGGTTTATCTACCCCCCAATGCCCCATAATCTACATGTGGAAGATGTCCATACCGATAGACATGGTTTCCTGAGTGAGAACAATGAGTAATACATTACTTCTCACCTGATACTGAGGGGGCTCCGATTTCTGTGAGTATGAGTCTGTAAATGAGTTGTTGGTGTGACAATCAACTCTTTCGTCATTTCCTGTGAACACCATGTTATCGCCGCTGTCGCCCGAAAGAATGGATATAATGTCATCATCCTCATCAGCATTAGTGATACTCCCAAGGGGAGAGTACTCTAATGGTTGTAAAATACTGCAGGGAACAAAACCTTTACTGCCTGTAAATAAATAAATATTTTTAGTGAAATTGTCTAGTTAACTCATAACATAAAGTTTTTTAATCATGTCTGTCTTAATCATGTGACTAGTTTGCTCATACTGATTTTGTTTCATGGTGTTTTTTCTTTTTCAAATTCTAGTATATTATTATATTAAATACATTTTTTATTTTCTCTCGTAATTGATAAATTATCTATTGGTGTTGAGTTATTGATTAAAAAAATATGAGCTATACAAAGCACAAGACGTTTCAGACACAGCAGAGGAACTAGGGATCACAACTTTAATATGAGACTAATCTTGAAAAATGTAGAGAATACAACACAGATCTCTATGCCTGTTTTGTTGATTACAGCGATTCCTTCCACTGTGTTCAATCACCATAAATTATGGAGTATCATGAGAAGTATGGGGTTTCCAGCATCATCTTGTGACAGTTACGATTCACTTATAGTTGGTGGCAGTGGCAACCTTATTTAGAAATGTCAAAAATGACCAGACTTGTGACAGTTATGATCCGCTCACAACTGGTGGCAACCCTATTCCGGAACTTCACTATCAGATGGCAGTCCTCATTTCATATGGTGTAAACAGAAAAACAAAAACAATTGATTTCCTCAACATTTTTATAGCTGCTTCTCCCACCAAAACAGTGGAAATTCTTTCGTAGCCCACCTGACAGCTAACCAGACATGAAACAAAAACCAAGATGGTTTATGTTTATGTTTATTCAACGGATCAACTTCATGGGACACGGATGTAACCCATATGTGCTCTGTTCTACTTCTAACTCAAGCCTGAGTCCAAAGAATCTCAGCGCAGTGCACGAACTCTGTTGCACCGGCGAGGATCCTGAATTACTTTGGGTAATTTGGTACTCCAAATTTAGACCAGGCAGCGCTGTTAGGCTACTCTTTTCGATTTTCAACTGCCAATATATACGGGTGTCCGATCTTACTATCCAGAGACTGGGGAAATTACTAGAAGTTCATGTTAAAAAATTCCAGGGTTCACCAGGGCTTGAACCCAGGACCTCCAGGACTCGAGGCAGACACCATACCTCGAGATCATTCAGACATTCAATCATAGTAGTTTATTTATAAACCAACGTTTTCAACTAATGCAACATCCAAAGATTAGAAAATCTAATATACGTTGCTGGAGAATTGTTTCTGATAGATAAAAAGCTGCAATAACATCCACTCAAATTCTCCATTAAGTTTTATTACTTACATGGTGTTTTAAGAAAAATAAAAAGTTAAAAAAAAAAACCACCAACAATCTGATAGCTCGGTAATTCAAAGATGGATATTATTTTTTTGTTTTTGTTGAGTGACAACCAAAACTCAGAAAATGATTGCATTTTATGCCTGGACACAATAGTAACATCTGGCAACAGCTATCAATCCTGGACACAGTAGTAACATCTGGCAACAGCTATCAATCCTGGACACAATAGTAACATCAGGCAACAGCTATCAATCCTGGACACAGTAGTAACATCAGGCAACAGCTATCAATCCTGGACACAATAGTAACATCAGGCAACAGCTATCAATCCTGGACACAGTAGTAACATCAGGCAACAGCTATCAATCCTGGACACAATAGTAACATCAGGCAACAGCTATCAATCCTGGACACAGTAGTAACATCAGGCAACAGCTATCAATCCTGGACACAATAGTAACATCAGGCAACAGCTATCAATCCTGGACACAATAGTAACATCAGGCAACAGCTATCAATCCTGGACACAATAGTAACATCAGGCAACAGCTATCAGTCCAAAAGTTGCCTTTAGGAGGATCCTAATTTTCAAGGAAATATTTATCAAAGTTTTTGGCTGCCCACCTAAACTATTCCACAGCCCATGAGTTGAAGAACACTGGGTTATGTGATCAACATCATGTTGACTACCTTAACATACTTTAACATTTCCTAGAACTCAAGTAAAATCCAGATCTATTTATATTTTTTTTTTTTTAATCATTGCTCTCAAAAGTGCAATAATGGTAATATAAACTGAACTATTTCCTGTAGGTATAATGTCCTTTCTCAAACACTGATATAAAATCAGGTTATTGTTGTTGTTCTTCTTCTTCTTCCTCCTCATCCTCTCCTCCTCATCCTCTTTCTCCTCCTCCCTTTCTCCTTTCTCCTTCCTCCTCCTCCTGTTCCTTCTTCTTCTTCTTCTTCTTCTTCTTCTTCTTTTTCTCCTCCTTCTCCTCTACTTTTATCACACCTGATGTCAAGGGAGATTTAGGGTTCTGCTTTTTTGCTCTTCTGGCTGCCTCAACCAGACACACATGATGTTGTAGAGTTTCTCTGATGTTATCTTGCTTGTGCAGTATGTTTTTTTAATCTTTTGGTGTATGTCTTGTATGATATGGCGTCACAATACATTCTCTCAAAATGGGCAAATCATTTGATTCTGATGTCTTTGCATGTTAATTTAGAATTGGTCCTATGCTGACTTTTTTAAAGCTTTTATTAATTTTGAACTTGTTGGTCTGGGCAGTCGTTTGCATTCTATTTTTATTCTATTTCATAATAAGCTATAATGCTGAATTTTGTACACACATGCTATGTGGGTGACAATGCTATTCAGTAAACAAAATATATTATTCTCTTACGACCTCATTTCTAATTTCATCTCTTCAGGTCGCTCCTGCAACCCTGCTCAGACGTCTTATTTCCATGGTTTCTGACTTTGAAAACACAGATTACTGCACAAGATAATAGTATCCATCATGTTGTGTGTAGTGTTAGCTGTTTGCTTACCTCCATCATGTTGTGTGTAGTGTTAGCTGTTTGCTTACCTCCATCATGTTGTGTGTAGTGTTAGCTGTTTGCTTACCTCCATCATGTTGTGTGTAGTGTTAGCTGTTTGCTTACCTCCATCATGTTGTGTGTAGTGTTAGCTGTTTGCTTACCTCCATCATGTTGTGTGTAGTGTTAGCTGTTTGCTTACCTCCATCATCCACAAACCATCTCTCTGTGTTACCCATGGGGTCCAGCTGCTTGACCACGGCCACTAGTGTGCCCTCTGTCAGGGAGATATCCATGAGATCTGTGGCGTTGTAGGTAGAGCTGACAATGTACAGCTTGTCTGGTGGGTACAGCTGATGCAGGTATCTTCTCTGAGCCTCATTTTGGAAGCCTGAACTAGACTATTGGAAAGAAATTATATATATATATGGTGGGTGGGCATTGTAGGTAGATAGAAGGCAAGTAAACAGAAAGACAGACACAAAGATAGGCAGGCAGACCTGTATTATCATTTCAAAGCAACATGTTATCAATCAGCCCAAGGAAACAGTATTTGGATGTTCTACTGTATACAAAAGGAATACAATGTATATGTGAATCTTTGTGCATGCAGATCAGAGGCTTGTATACTTGCTGAAGTTAAAAAAAAACACTTAATGTAATAGCTGTGAGAATTATCTGTATTTCCCCGGCTTATCATAACATAAAGCATGAACTCTGTATCTCCAGGGACAATCCCCAGGGATTTGTAAAAAGTAAAAATGTGAGTCTGCACTTGTGAACCAAACAACAGTTCTAAACTCATGATCTTCAGAGTGTGAGGCAAACTGTTTGACCATTTCACCTCTTTACAGTGGAGACCACATCCCTACCCTCAGTTATCCTTGCATGTGTACTTTTGTCAGTTTCCTTGTATGTATACCTATGAAAGTATCTTTACGTATGTAGTTATGTGTGGCTGAATGTGCATATATGTATACAATTGCAAATACATATGTATGCATTTGTGCATGCGTGTGTGCATTCGTGTGTGTATGTGCATGCACGCACACTGTTAGGTTAGTTGTGTATCCTTTACAGGACGTTGCAGAACCAACCCCAGCATATTTTTTTTGTGTGGCTGTTGTGGTTTTTCTAGGCACATTTACATCCAGTAGTGTGCCATTGCTTTCTGGATGGTCAGCTTCTTGATACACCTGTCACAACCAACACAAGGCACATGGATATGCATATGTTACTAAAATAGACAGAAACTGAAGCAATATATAGTTAATATCAGAATACCATAACATGTAGTGTTTTAATTTTACTTTTTTTTCCCTCCAGAATTGCAGCCGGAAAAATTGAAAATCTGTGGTTCATGGAGTCACTATTTTGAGGGAGCTGAACAGGAGCAAATTCCCAAACCCTATTCAGCTGTATAATATATTTATACGAGGGATTCCTAGTTTAGGGTTATGAACAAACTAACTGTCTATTGTGGGTGGGTGTGGTTTTTATTCTCTTATCCTGGTGGGCTGGGTTTTTCTTGTTTCTCTTTGTGACTTTTCCCTGGTTTGTAATTTATTATATTGTATTTAAGCATAGGCAACAAACTGATTTCAAACTAAAAGTAAACTATACAACATTAAACATGCACACAAAAAAAGACAACATTAAATCAAATTACCAATTATAGAACAAATTTTCAGAACTACCTGATGTGAAACCTGCTGCTGTAAACTGCCATCTGTGCTGGAGCGCCCTTTCTGAATTGCACGGTCAGCTTTGACAGTGTCCACTCTAGGATTGAAACCCTTGGGAATGAAACTGAGCATGGATATGTGATCAAATGCTGTTGTGTGTCGGATTTTGAAGACTTCCATCAGGTTTGCCTTGCTTGCAATGGAAGGCAGCTGAAATGGTTAAATAAACATGAAGATATCCATACATCTGTTTTATATATGTATCTTTTATACAGCTATCATTTACACCTATCAAGTATTGTATGCAGACATACTGTTTTTAATTGTTTCAGGCTACAGTTAGCCATTGTATTTTTCTCCTTATGGGGATGGAAGCATATAGTTCTGTCACCCTGCTTCTGAGCTGATTACACGGTTAAAGACTGTGTGGTGTAGATTTAATTTGGAATCATTTTCAACTGTTCTCAGTGTAGTTTGTTTTGTGAACTGCAGATTCAGAAAAATGGCACGTGGCTTGTTGACACAGAACTGGAGTGTCTTATGCAATTAACTGAGTGTGCTGCTATAGATTTATTGCAACAGCTGCTTACGTTGATGATGATGTGCAGTTCTAGAATGAATTGTCATTACATAAATAACCAACTGACATTTCAAACTTGATGTATGCAGAACTGTACGTCTCTGTCTTCTTTATTCACTGAGAAACCTTTAATAAGGGGCATTATTCTCTTAATGTCTCTCATATCTTCCATATATTATATATCTGTCTTATACAACTAATACATGTTTTATACATCTGCCTTAGACATTTGTCATTTTTTTTATACATCTGCATTATACATCTGTCATATCTTTATACATCCGGCATTTGTTTATACTTTTGCCTTATACATTTGTCATATGTTTATAAATCTGCCTTATGCATCTGTCATGTTTATACATCTGTCATATGTTTATACATTTGTCATATGTTTATACATTTGCCTTATGCATCTATAATATGTTTATAATCTGCCTTATACATCTGTCATATGTTTATAACCTGCCTTGTACACGTGTCATATGTTTACAATCTGCCTTTTACATCTGTCATATCTTTATACATTTGCCTTATACATCTGTCATATGTTTATTATCTGCCTTATAATCTGTCATGTATTCATACACCTGCCTTTTACATCTATCATATGTTTATACATATGTCCTATTAAACTATCATGTCTCAAATCTGTTTTATGCATCAGTCATGTATCTTATGTACACATCTTATTCATTTATCAGTTCTCAGAAAACCAGTTGCATTGTAAGAATAACACTGGACTACCAAAAGTAGATAACTCCGTCATACAAAGATTAATGATAAAATATTAGTGAGGACTATAATCACAGCCCTATGAACACATTAGGATATTAATGCCAACGGTTAATAACAATGATGGTACCTCTAATAATGAGCAAGTTTCTTTCAACGACTGATCCATGAAGTCCCTTCTGGCAAGCACAAAGGCTGAAATACAATGCCTCAGCATTCTGAATGCAAGGTTATACAATTTGGGCAGCTCATCCAGAAGTTGAGCATTCATGGCTTCATAGTCATTCCTGGCTGTCTGCAGCTCCTGGGGTAATAAATACAAATGTACAACTGTTTATATGAAAGATGGTATAGTGGGAATTCAAATAATAATACCATTGTACAATTGTTTATATGAAAGATGGTATAGTAGCAATTTAAATAATAAATACCATTGTACAATTGTTTATATGAAAGATGGTAAAGTGGCAATTTAAATAATAAATACCATTGTACAACTGTTTATATGAAAGATGGTAAATTGGCAATTTAAATAATAAATGCTATTTTACAATTGTGTTATATGAAAGATGGTAAGTGGCAATTTAAATAATAAATGTTATCTTACAATTGTGTTATATGAAAGATGGTAAGTGGCAATTTAAATAATAAATGCTATCTTACAATTGTGTTATATGAAAGATGGTAAGTGACAATTTAAATAATAAATGCTAATGTAACAATTGTGTTATATGAAAGATGGTAAAGTGACAATTTAAATAATAATACCATTGTACAATTGTTTATATGAAAGATGGTAAAGTGACAATTTAAACAATAAATACCATTGTACAATTGTTTATATGAAAGATGGTAAAGTGACAATTTAAAAAATAAATACAATTGTACAATTGTTTAGATGAAAGATGGTAAAGTGACAATTTAAAAAATAAATACCATTGTACAATTGTTTAGATGAAAGATGGTAAAGTGACAATTTAAAAAATAAATACCATTGTACAATTGTTTAGATGAAAGATGGTAAAATGACAATTTAAAAAATAAATACCATTTTACAACTATTTAGATAAAAGATGGTAAAGTGACAATTTAAAAAATAAATACCATTGTACAATTGTTTAGATGAAAGATGGTAAAGTGGCAATTTAAAATTGAAGTAAAGGACTCTTCTTACACCACCAAAACACCAGACATATGATTCTAGACCAGGCATGTGAAACTGATACGGGTCCCATTTGTGTTGTCATGAGGACCACAAAGGACAGGTAGTTGAAGTCCTTTAATAGAAAAGTTATTGCAGAAGATTTGTATTGCAGATGGCAGGCGAGTGTGCAAAGGGTGGCATGCTACCTACATGTTTGACATGATGTTCTAGACCATTTGTATAACTAGTCAGCACTTCAATGCTAGGTACAATACCGGTACATGGATTTCACAGAACATTAAAGAACCAAATGGTTTGGTCATGCGGTCAAAATATATTGGGCGATTAGGACCACTCGTTCTTTCATCCATCATGAAACTGTAGCTGATGATCAATGAGTCCAGAGGTGACTAATAAGCCCAATATGGGCATGGAAGGGTCTAGGACAATGAGGGCAGGGAACAATGTGTATAAGTGAAGGGCTCTGTTGTATTGATCTTCATAGCTGTTTTCACTGTAAAGCTGTCCTTTTTCTAGATGATTCTTTGGATAGAGTTCACCATGTAGTCTGATCTTGTGCGGCAACTCCCAAGTGAAAGCTGAATTTGGATAGAGTTCACCATGTAGTCTGATCTTGTGCAGCAGACTCCCAAGTGAAAGCTTAAATTGGATAGAGTTCACGATGTAGTCTGAATTTGGATAGAGTTCACCATGTAGTCTGATCTTGCGCAGCAGCCTCCCAAGTTAAAGCTTCAAGTAATGCCTCTAGCTTGATCCTGAAGCATTTTTTTTCCTTCTGGCCACCACTGGAGCGTTTCATCATCATCACTAAGTGCCTTGCTGACTGGCATGGGTGTCTTGCCTCTCCAAAATCTGCGATCAACAACTGCATGTATCAGTTCATGTGCTGACAACCCTGCATACCATGACAAAAGACTGTCAAAAATCTTCTCAAGCTGTCTTCCTCTGTCTCTCTTTCCACAGTTCTTTCCAGTGGTCACAAACATATTCCATTTTTCCTCTTCTCATAACATGATGCCCCCAAAAAAAATTAATGATGTCTCCTTCTGATGAATGTGATAAGTTGATGAGCACTTCGCCACTTTCAAAACATCTGGGTTGCTCTTCTTAGCTGACCAAGGAATTCTACGGATTCTTTTGCAAAACCACATCTCCGAGGCCTTAAGATGCATGTCTATATTCTTGTATCTTCCATAAAAGATTATTTTATGACTGAAAAAAAAAAAATGAACAAATCAATTCTTCAACTATGTAACAAAATTCTGCATCAACATAAAGAAATTCCAACAGTACCTTGTCATTTTCCATTTTCCCAAGCTGGTAATTGTAGTCCAGAAGCTTGTCAAATCGTTTCTCTATGACTTTGGTTGGTGCACTGAATAAACCAACAAGAATATTCAGGGGCACAATCACAACATTATCCACTGTCTCTTTCTGTTGGAGAAAACAGATGCCAACAATACAATTCACAAAGCAATATACAATGTTTATTACAGTTATTAACTCTCTGTATCTGACTCCATCTTATGGTAGATACCTTAGTATCTCCATGACTCTATGATCCATTTAGTAGACGTGCAACTATAGGCAGCCTGTCTGTTTGGACAGACCTTCTTTTTTCTTTTACTTCTTCTTCTTAGTTCCGATTGTTCATCCACTTCTGAACTTTGGTCTTGTTATAATGTGTGTACATCAGTTTTACAGATCTGGTTGTTATTTTTTAATGCAGACTGTTGGCTCCTTGCCTCTTAGGCAGATGTACTCTGACTTTAAAAAAAAAACATACCTAATTAGCCGACTTTTATGACATGCTTACTGGGGGTAAAAGATGGCAGGAAGCAGTGGGTCTATTCTCCCCCCCCCCTCGCTTCCCAAAGGACCCCAGAATCCACAAGGGAAGTCCAAAAAAATCAAAGTAGGTCAGACTTAAATAAATATGAACCTACTGTCTTGCAGACAGATTTTTTTTATTCTGATGCCTTTCAGTTCAAAATGGCCTATCACCAGCTTACCACTGACATTCTGAAAAGTTTTTTTTCTTTCTTGCTAGGGTTTGCTGATGTGAATTCTCCATTTCTGAACTGGCAGTCTAAAGATTCTGTCATCTAGCTACTGAGCTGAGTGCTTGATGAGACACTGTGTGCTGTGAGTTTCATGTGGAATGTTTGTTTTTTCTATTATGCCTGCAACAGCTTTGTGTCTTGAACTGATTGCACTAACAATAAACTGTGGCCGGTTGCATTCATAATGGCGTGTGCTTATGCACTACTGTGTGTGTACCATGCCGGCTTTCATAAGCGACCAATGGCATCAACAGCGTGCTGCAATTTTGCTGTGGGGCTTATAATTCTGGCACATACAACATTATGCATTTATTTTGCCTGTATCAGCTTCGAGATTTTGCTAACTTTGACATGTTTTTCACTAGGTTTCAAATGGTACAGTGTATGACATTTTGTGTGATTTCCACTTTCACAGAATGGAACAGTTGTAGGGCAACCCATCTGCAGTGAAGAGGGAACCTCTGCTAATGACTATCGACTATTCTATTATCTCCATAAAATCTTGTGTTGTCAAAGTGTAGTCTTATGTTGCCAAAGTATAGTCTAGTATTAGCAAAGTGGAATCTATTATCAGTCTAGTCTTATGTTGTCAAAGTGCAGTCTTGTATTATCAAACTATAGTCTTGTATTATCAAAGTGTAGTCTTATGTTATCAAAGTGCAGTCTTGTATTATCAAACTATAGTCTTGTATTATCAAAGTGTAGTCTTATGTTGTCAAAGTGTAGTCTTGTATTATCAAAGTGTAGTCTTGTATTTTCAAAGTGTAGTTTTATGTTGTCAAAGTGTAGTCTTGTATTATCAAAGAGCAGTCTTGTTTTTATCAAAATGGAGTCGTGTATTATCAGAGTATAGTCTTGTATTATCAAAGTGCAGTCTTGTTTTTATCAAAATGGAGTTTTGTATTATCAGAGTATAGTTCTGTTTTATTAAATCTTGTAGTGTCAAAGTGTGCTGTCAGAATGTTATCAAAATATAAGAAAACACCTTATAAAAACATATGGGTTTCTGCAAGTCAGGATACCTACCATACTGTCATAAAGACTCAGCTGTTTGCAAGTAACCTCATAAAGCTTAGTAGCTTCAGCACACTCTCTGCCTTTATAGAAGTCCATGATATCATCAACATAAACTGTCTGGCATCTCATGGCCTCCTGACAAACAAAAAAAAACAGATAACTTTTTTTTTAAACACTGAAATCTGCTGCATTTGGTTCATCATTATCAATTTCTACTTTTTCTTGGATGTTTAAATTGGTGCCTTTTCTCAGGCATCTCATTTCACAGGTGTTAATTTGACCAAGGTTGGTATGAATATGCTGTTTATAATCTGTTTGGTGGTGCTCATACTTATGTCTGGATGTCCTAATAATGGTGTTAGTTGGTATTTAAATGCACTGGTTTATTTTGTGAAAAATACTGATTCTATAAAGTATATATTCCTTTAAACTTACAGAATTATGGTTTTGTAGAAATTTACTGAAATACTTTGGATAATTTCCACAAAAAAAAAAAAAAATTATTAAATATTATAAAAAGGCTGGGATAAAGAGAAGATATAGAGGCTGGGATAAAGAGAAGATATAGAGGCTGGGATAAAGAGAAGATATAGAGGCTGGGATAAAGAGAAGATATAGAGGCTGGGATAAAGAGAAGATATAGAGGCTGGGATAAAGAGAAGATATAGAGGCTGGGATAAAGAGGCTAGAGGATAAAGAGAAGATAGAGAACATATAGAGGCTGGGATAAAGAGAACATATAGAGGCTGGGATAAAGAGAAGATATAGAGGCTGGGATAAAGAGAAGATATAGAGGCTGTGATAAAGAGAAGAAATAGAGGCTGGGATAAAGAGAAGATATAGAGGCAGGAGATATAAGATAAGACTCCTCCATCAAGTCCTCATGTGGAGACTGGCTGGGATAAAGAGAAAATATAGAGGCTGGGATAAAGAGAAGATATAGAGGCTGGGATAAAGAGAAGATATAGAGGCTGGGATAAAGAGAAGATATAGAGGCTGGGATAAAGAGAAGATATAGAGGCTGGGATAAAGAGAACATATAGAGGCTGGGATAAAGAGAACATATAGAGGCTGGGATAAAGAGAAGATATAGAGGCTGGGATAAAGAGAACATATAGAGGCTGGGATAAAGAGAACATATAGAGGCTGGGATAAAGAGAAGATATAGAGGCTGGGATAAAGAGAAGATATAGAGGCTGGGATAAAGAGAAGATATAGAGGCTGTGATAAAGAGAAGAAATAGAGGCTGGGATCAAGAGAAGATAAAGATAAGATAGCTAGATGTGGACACTGGCTGGGATAAAGAGAAAATATAGAGGCTGGGATAAAGAGAAGATATAGAGGCTGGGATAAAGAGAAGATATAGAGGCTGGGATAAAGAGAAGATATAGAGGCTGGGATAAAGAGAAGATATAGAGGCTGGGATAAAGAGAAGATAAAGAGAAGATATAGAGGCTGGGATAAAGAGAAGATATAGAGGCTAGGATAAAGAGAAGATATAGAGGCTGGGATAAAGAGAAGATATAGAGGCTGGGATAAAGAGAAGATATAGAGGCTGGGATAAAGAGAAGATAAAGAGAAGATATAGAGGCAGGGATAAAGAGAAGATATAGAGGCTGGTATAAAGAGAAGATATAGAGGCTGGGATAATGAGAAGATATAGAGGCAGGAGATATAAGATAAGACTCCTCCATAAAGCCCTCATATGGACACCGGAAGGGAAAAAGAAAAAAACGGGAAAGACCAAGAGAGATCCTGTGTAGAACCATCATCAGAGAAGGATCAACCATGGGCCTCATGAACATCCAAGACCTAAACAGGAGGCAACGAACCGCCAGACATGGAGAGCTATGACCTCTGCCCTATGCGCCGCCTTAGCCTCAAGAGGAAAGTCTAATTACCTAATATAAGCTAAGATATCATTTTCATCATCAAGTGCCTTGCCGACTAGTGTAGGAGATTATGCCTCTCCACAATCTGCGATCTTCAACAGGACAAATCAGTTTGTGTGCTGACACCACTCCATGCCATGATAAAAGGCTCTCAAGAATCTTCCCATGTTGTCTTATCTGCCTTTTTTTTTTTTCACAGATCTTTCCAGTGGTCACATGTTCTAGTTTTTCTTCTGTTATAAAATGACTAAAAAATGATGACTGTCTCTTTCTGATGTTTGTCATAAGTTGTCTTCGAGCCCTCGCCTCTTTCAAAACATTTGGGTTGCTCTTTTTTTTTTCCACTTTCCAAGGAATTCTAAGGATTATTTTATTGGCTGCAAGAAACAGTTTGGATTGTCTTGTCGATGGACGTGTAGCACCTTTTCACAAACAATAGAAAACACGAGACTAGGTTTCTTCTATTTGAGCAGCCTTGATCACTCTGATGAAATGGACTTTTTCTGACACTCCTTGAGATCTTACCTGGTGATTGCTTACCATATGTCTCTGGAAACTGGATTTTTAGCCCAGCAAGGATCAATATTCAGTATCCACCCCCTTATTTTTCCCTCTTCACCCCGCCACACACACACGGACACACACACAGACAAACATATGCACTCAAACACATACACACAGCCACGACCACCCCCCCCCCCCCCCCCCTCTCTCCCCCCCCCCCCCCCCCCAACCAACAAATGCTGGGGTTGGTTTGCATATGCCCTGTAAAGTATGCACAACTATCTTTAACTTGTGGATTACTGTTTCACTGTTCATAAGACTTTGGTCAAAAGTTTTCCTTGTTATTTTCGTCTCTTTTTACACTTTGCTTTTTTATGTTATGTTTATTTATTCATTTTAGCCTTAAATATGCATTAATCACTGATATTTCTGTGAGTGCACAGACTGGTCTGCAGGCACTGCAGAATCAGAACTTTGACAAATGATTCATGACAATTCTCACCCAGGTGATGTAATTATTTATACAGATGGCTCTGTGTTTAGGGACAGATGAAGCTCATTCGAGTTCTTAAAAGTGAATCGACGTCACTTGGTGCAGCAAAGCCTGGCATATGCCATTTGAGTTTCAGAATGGAGTTGGTGGCAGTCACTGCAGCCTTTCGCTGGCTTGAGAATCAGCTGTATAACACATGTTGCAACTGTAACCAGCTCACAGAGCAAGTTGAGAATCAGCTGTATACACATGTTGTAACTGTAACCAGCTCACAGAGCAAGTTAAGAATCAGCTGTATTCACATGTTGTAACTGTAACCAGCTCACAGAGAAAGTTGAGAATCAGCTGTATACACATGTTGTAACTGTAATCGGCTCACACAGCAAGTTGAGACAGGTGGAAACTGATTTGCTCTGGGAAGCATTGCTTTAGAGGTCTAGGGTAGTTTGCATCCTTTGGGTCTTTTCCCCAGGAAATGCTGGTGTATTAGGAAATTAACAGGCAAATAGACTAGCTTGTTCTGCATAACCTAGTCGTGAATTGATTAATAACAAGCTAGATGTTGTAAGGGCCATGTGGGTGTGACTGGACAGTGTGGAAGCACAGATGGATCATCACTGTCTGAAGAGAATGGTACTGCGAGGAGTGATCAAGGGATCTGATTAACGATCGGCACTCAAGGCAAAGGTGAGACGGATATACAATCAGACTGAGATTGGTACTATTGGAACTGGAACTCTGTGCTTGCTGCTGAAGATGGGGACAGAGCACTTATGGAAATGTCCCAAATGTTGTGATGTCGATTCTTATTAACCAGTAAACATTATTTTCTATAAACAAATTATGCTCCATATATTATTGATTATAATATATATTACTTTTATGAAACGAACACTGAGATAACTATATACAAAACTATGATCCAAATTATTGCTGAGATCAGTACTGACATACTAAATTATATTCCATGTATTAGTGAGGTAAATGTTGACATACTTGACTCTGTTCCAAGTACTGTTCAACACTCTCCAAAAACACTTTGACGGCTTTTTCAAGGTTTCGAAATTTAGCCTCCTCTTTGTCAAACATTTCATCCTTCATCTGAAAGTGAGAAAATATACAAAATATAATATGGCTGGAAAAGAAGACAATTTAAGTGAATAACACTGGCACTATGCTAAACTCACTTAAGAAAAATGTTTGCGATTTTCACTCTGGTGAATTTTTTTTCTCAAAATTTTTGGGCTGTGAGATGTCACTTAACATTTTGCCGAAGCAACACGTGTAAATTCCTAGTCTTATTCTTCTTAAAGTCAATGTCGTGTGGTGTTGGTAGCCATGTCTATCCACAACTTTCTGTCTCGTGTACCTTCAGTCAACTCAGAAACAGATGATCCTCCATGCTATGATGTCAAACTGTCCAATATCTATTCTCTCGGTCTTCCTCTGCCTCATCTCCCCTCCAACTTTCCAGTGGTCATGACGTACTCCTGTTTTCTTCTTCTCATCTAAATAGATCAAAACAGAGTAACTGAAACCGCAAGCTAAGAATTTGGTAAACAACTCTGTCACCTAAAGCTACAAATTTAATCTGTTCCATGACTGAGCTCTGTGTCTATACTGGTGGACGTGGGTCTGCAGCCTGGAGCTGCAAGAAATGAACATTTCACTAAGGGGACAAAACTTTTCATTAACCAACACAGAACAGGCGTCATCAGTCATTTTACACTTATGGAGCTTTTTAGAAGATCGGAGCACCTGTGGATCTGTCCAGAGCACTGTGATGATAATCCTTTCTATTCACTAATGACTGAGTTCAGCCGGTGAAACTCCTAAAGCTTTTTTCAAAATTAAAATTAATGTAAAAATTTTTTATTTGTTTCAGCACTCCAAAAATCTCTCTATAATTTCTTTGCATGCTGAACCTAAATAACAAAATTTACATTATCCATCTCATTACCATTGAAAATGTGTGGCAATACATTTGTGTTTTTACCGGCAGCGGAAAATGGAGTTACTTTATGATGCTACAGTGAAATGAAAGGAAAAGAGGAACAAACAATCAGACAATGAATCCGAAGCTGAGTTGAATTAGGAACTGATATCACAGCACTCGGAATATCCTGGTTAATGCTCCATCCCCATCTTCAAGACGCTGCACAGAATCCAGAGCTACCTGTTACTTAGGTTCTCCGTCAGCACTGTTAACATGACCTAATTCATTAAAAGTTACCCAGATGCTATTGGGTAATAATGCAGAGAATTCTGGTCTCTCCAGCTTGCATCCTGGATTTCCTCTTCATATTCTGGGGCAAAATAAATTGTACAGCTTTTCATGAAAGAACTTGTATCCTGAAGTTCCACTGTACTACACTGCATGCAACTATTCAATTTTTATTTGCCAATCAAACACAGTTTTCTTGAAACAAGATTTTGGCCCTTAGGTGACTATGGCACAGTGCCAACATTTCTTTTAAGATATGTAATTTAATCACTAAATCTCAAGGGGCAACATATTGACAAATATAACCCTAGAGGGTAAAAAAACAAAAAAACAAAAATGTATTTTCAACACCTTTAGATGTATTGGCGCTAGAAAATATTTTACAGACCAACCAGCACTCATTGTCTTTTTCATTGGTTGGAATTAGCAGTTAAGGTTTTGTATGTGGTGTGGTTGCCAATGGCACCAGTCACAGTAATTTACTTTGTATGTCATGGTTAGTAGTAGGGTTGTTATTTCTTTGCTTCTACTATGGACCCTGATTAGACACAGATACCTTGTCCACATACAGTTTTATTTTATGCTTATATTATAATTTAAATATGGGTTACAAAAATGCATCCAGCTAACGTTAAATATTTAACTACTTTGTTTTAAATTTCCACCCTAGATAATATTAAATATTAAACTGTCATATGTCCACCCAGTCACTGTTTAACAGTTCAGCAACCTAATATTACAGACAATAATAAATCTAGTTTACAAAATATGTTATCAAATGTACTGAAGTAAAAGAAAAGTCAATAGATTTTAACTTCAAAAGAATGTTTGCCCATAATTAATTTAAATAATGCGGACACAAACAATACATTGCACAATTTATTGCCAGGCATATTTCGCTGTATCTCGTCAGGTGGGTTACTACAGAATTACATCAACATAAAATGAAGCACAAAACTGTATAAATCCAACTGAAATGTGAATAGTTTCTTTCGATACATTGTGTATGTTTTGGCCACCAGAAACCTGCCATAGTCACGTGACTTACTGGGGTAAATTTACTATAAATTCGGTCTGCTTACAAAGGAAGGGGGTTGTTGTTTTAATTGTTAAAGCTTAGGCTATTCTCAACAGTTGCCTGTTTGGAATGTGATAAACCACACAGAAAACACTGTCTGAGTTAATTACGTGTCCGGAATCAAGTAGATGATGTCCTATGGAAGAAGTGATTTCTTTTCTCTTGACTGGTCTCGACAACATTGAAGAATGACTGAACTGTGTATGTAGCCATTTGGGTATGTTCTCTGCTACTCTATTTTAACTTGTCTGGGATGGACCAACCAGATAATGTCAATGCTGAAAGCTAAAGATGTAAATTTACTGTTGAGCCAACTTACCTGTAAGGCAATGCCAAAGTTGGTGCTAAGCCTGCCTCTGATTCTTGTTGACTTCTTTTTGATAGAATGTAGGTTAAGTTTGGAGATCTTGTCACTGAAGCTCTCATCAGTTGACGTTTTGTATTTGTATACTGAAACAGGTCAAATTTTAAACCTAAAATCTCATCAGTTGACTGTTTATATACTGAAAACAAGGATATAAACTATGAGGTCTCAACAGTTTGATGTTTACGTTTATTAACTGAAAAAGATGTTAAATACATGGTCTAATCAGTTGCCTACTTGTATGTGTATACTTGTGTTGCCATATATTGAAATTTAAAAAAAAGGAATGAAGTGAAAACAAGTTGTAACGATATTTTTCACTACTAACCTATACTATAAATTACAAACTCTTTCTGTATTTCATGTGTTTAGTATAAATGAAGTGTTAACTCCTTCCAAACCATGACCAATACATCAGTTAAATTGTCATTTGCCATTATGACTACAATGCTTTAATTTAACAGTCATATTGGTGGCACAGGTTACTGTACATTTCTTTATTTATTGCGACAATCAGTAAAAGTAAACTTTCACTGGAGTTATATCCTTTGAATTTTTTTTCCAATTACTTCCACAGAAAATGTAATTTTTATATTTTATTGTTAACTTCTCTGAAACTATATATCTATATTTGTCGAAGGCAATACATTTGTCTGTCTCCTAAACTGTTAAATACAAGTGTTAGTATTACAAGGGCTCTATCTATCTCTTAATTTACCCTACCAGGACATCACACATAGCAATAAACACCCGGTGACACAAAGTGCTACCATGCGGATGAGGATCACCTGTGGAGAGGTCCCAAAAACCCCTTTCAGCCATTAGGGCATATTTATGGCCCATCTATACTCAGGGCCCCAGGCAAAAGCCAGGGTGGGGTTTCAAAAAGTGAAAAATTGCATCCCACATGAGGACGACAGTTATTACAAGAGAATACCTCGGGTGAACTTTAGAGGCAATAACTAAAGATATGGCAGTGGTGGAGACAAAGACGAAATAGAAGATGGGATATTAAATACAGGGTTTTAGTAAGACCCCTATTCCCACTAGACTCACATGTAGGGCAGCAGGGGAGATCAAACTGAGGTAGAGGATGGGAGAATCAGAATTTTTGTCACTACCCCGGACAAAGTCAGGCAATAAAAACTAATTAGGCTATAAAATATACACATTTAGCATTCTAAACTTACTCAATAAGAACAAAAATGTTCCGCCAAGAATGGAGGAATCTGGGGGAAAACAGGAAAATGGTGTTTCTGGTAACCGTATTGCGTACTAAAATAAACATTATTTTAAACATAAGGTCTCAAAAGCCAATTTTTATACTTACATATTACATATAAGATCTCATCAGTTGACTTTTTTGTACACAGACTAAAATATTTTTGATATTTTTTAAAAACATTGTACCATGGGTTTCCTGGTTGTACTTGTATATTCAAATATGCCAGATATTATACATTTTGTATCAACAGTTTACTTCTTCTTCTGCCTTTCTAACCCCCAGTGGAGCATAGGCCCTCAACCAACTCACACCATGTCATTCTATCCTTCGCTGTCGCATGATGCTCTCCACGTCCTATCCATCTTTTTAACTTCACTCTCTAGCTCCCTTCTCTATGTGTTTTTTGGCCTTTCCTTATTATTATGCCCTTGTGGGTTCAAATGCAGAGACATTCTTGTTATATTGCCCTCAGGTTTTCTTAATGTGTGCCATATCCAAAGCCAGCATTTTTTCTTAATCTCTTGGTCCTGGGACTTGTTTAGTTCTCTCCTAAAGCTCTCCATCAGTGATTCTATCATATCATTTAAATCCCTCTATTCTACGCAGGCACCAGTTAATGAATGTTTGTAGTTTCTTTATAATTGCCATAGTTGTCTTCCATGTTTCAGCTCCACACAACAGTACTGATTTGACATTAGACATGATATTTATTATCCGTTGACTGCTTGTACTTATATCCCTAAAAAGACCTGATGGTAAACATATTACCCAAAACTAGTATAACTGCAGTTGGACTGATTTCAAGAAATATCTTACATGCTACATAAACTATAAATGGAAAGCTCATGTATATTTTTTCCACATTTTCTCATTCATGTTTTAATGTTTTGTTTCCTATTAGCTCTTCCTATCCCTAGTTTTGTTTTCTATTTCTTTGTGACCTATTGTATATCATCTAGGGTTATTTTGTTTTCTCAGTTTTTTTCCCATCATTTCTCCACTGAGCTTTATAGTCACTGTTTGATTTTATCTTGATTTGATTTCTACTGGTCTTACACACCAAGAAGTGAAAACAAATTATTTCTTTTTTAATGAACCACAAAATAACCTTATGTAATTAGGTCTAATTACCAAGGTCTTTCCGTCTCTTATACTCATTGATAGCTCTGGCAACATCAGTCATTTCCTTGATGGCAGTCTCAATATCCCCTCTGTCTGGATGACCTTCCTCTGTATTCTATGTTGAAGAAAGCAATACATTATTGTGCAGTGTAGTAACTTGGAAAGCAATACATTAATGTGCAGTGTAGTAACTTGTCTTTCATCAGTATGATTAAGTACATGTCACAGTGAGGCAGGACAACAAGAACAACAAATCAAATCAAGATATCTGTGAATTGGCAACTTTGACAAGACTGCAAGAACAGCAAATCAAAAGGGGATAATTCAAATGTTGGTAGGGGGAGAATGGAAGTGGGGAGAGTAGAACAGACCCACTGCCAATTTGAAAAAAAAAAGCCTGTCGTAAAAGGCGACTAATTAAAGGTTATCTGAAATCAAATGTGTGGGGGCTAAAGAAGCAGAAATTGCAGCCTAGATGTACAGCACAAGTGCTAACTGCCATTTTAAGGGTAAAAACAGAAACTGCCCTGACGCTTCGAGGCATTCCAGGAGTCGAGAGAAGAAAAAGGTGAAAGCTCTGCATGATCAAATGGACAGTGCAATAGAACTGATAGAGAATCGCTACATTCAAAGAGTAATTTAATGGGGAGCATACAGAGGTTCTGGGAGATATTCAACATTGAGGGAAAAGCAGAGGCTGACTTTTAAACAGGTGGCAACTGCTTCTGTTAACATGACGACGCTTTGTTGGCTACTGAAGAAAGGTGACGGAGCACATGTGGGAATGTCCCGAGTGCAGTGATGTTATTTTTTTTTTTTCAATCCACTCTTGGCAAAAATCAAATAATTTTAAATAATTATTGTTAGGCCAGCCAGAACAGGTTAAAGTAAAGCCTGCATAGTACTGAAAAAGACAAATGGGTTTAAGGCAAAAAAAGATGGCTGATGTTGAATTAAGAATTGACATCGCAGTGCTCAAGATACTCGCTCCATCCCCATCTTCAGCAGCAAGTAAAGAGTTCCAATTCCCATAATACCAGTAACTGTTTGATTGTACATCTGTCTCGTCTTTCCCTTGATTGTTGGGCATCAGCCAGATCAACTGGTAACTTCCCACGGCGCCATTCTTCTCAGGCCATAAAGATCCATTTGTGCTTCCTCACTGTTCACTTACTCCCAAGAGGCCCTCACAACATCTAGCTTGTTATTCTTCAATTCACCACCAAGTGGTGCAGAACCGGTCAGTCCATCTGCTCAAGTTCCAGCAACTTGGAGAAACAAGGATCCCATCATTTCTCAACACACCAGCATGACAGAAAATTCCAAAGGACGCTAACTACCCGGAACTTATGAAGCGATGCTTACCACTCTGCATGGAGCATGCCTGCCTGTCTCCACCTTTCTGAATATACAGACGGCTGGTGTAATGTTCACAACAGCATCTATCAAGTACTGATTATTCTATAAATACGTACAGGGTTGGCATCATATACCTTTTGTGACGCTGGCATGAAAAGATCCTTTACTTATTTGTATTGTTTTTTAACTCTTTTAGTCCCAAGAAATGAATGATGTGTTAGTGTTCTTCCATTTGAATCCAAATTATCGCATATTGTCTGTCTTCCTAACTTTTCAGTTGTGGTCATAGTATTCTAAATAAATCTGGCTGTCACATTCGCTACTTCCAGTGTGTGTTTAGCCTTGTCCAAAAAGTGATATTGTCTTTGCCACTTGAGTATACACTTCAAAATCATCTGAAAGAGTTCTCAATATAGAAAAGGAAATACTATGAAAGAGAGAATTAATGCTTTTACAACCAACACTGTGCCCTACCTTGAGTAACTCAATCAACAGCAGGGGGTACTTAAGAATTCTCTGCACTGGTCGTATAAGGATACTGGCCATGTCAAACACATTTGTCTGCTGTTTTATCTGGTCAATCTTGGAACTCAAGTAACTGCTGATCGATGTGCTGTCACCATACTGCTCTAAGGCAGTGATGACTTCATCATGGTTCCGACAGTAAGGGGCATATGTGTTTTTCATGTCTTCAGCAAAGCGGATAAAACATTGACCTGAAACAATGAATTATTTCAACATATACAGAAATAAGTTAGACACATTACAGAAGTTCTGTGATTAGTCTTAGTCTTAGCTGACATGTGAACTTCACTGCAATCAGGTTTTCCTCATATTTGCCAGTGAAAATCAAATCAAATGTCCCTCACCGCCCCAATTGAAAAACTGGTGTACAAACAATTAGTCCTAGAACAATTCAGAAATATGTGCATGCAGTAAATGCATATGGCAGTTGCTAAAGGCCCCAAAGCCAATAGTCGCCACCAGAAATGCAGTTTGTCATTGATGGAAGTAGTCAGGCATGGTAAGTTGACTATACACATAAGGTATTTCACCAGCTCACGCGAAAAAAAAGCTGTACAAATGAAAGGTATAAAAAAAAAAGTAAAGATCCCTTTCTATGCCTTTAGGTGTATCAGGCATATGGGAAGAGCGAGCATATTTTTACAGACCATCAGCACTCGGTGGGTATGTGGTCAGCATTACGCCGGCCATCTTTACTTTCCCAGGACAGCCCATCCTGGTAGCCATTCTAGGCTGGATCAACCTGCGACGCCCCATACCATGATAAAAATCCACGCAGCCAGCAGTGGGTTTCGATCGCGGTACGCTGGATCACGAGTCGGACTTGCAACGCCTAAGCCACGGACACTGCAATGAAAGGTATACCACATTAAAAACACAGCACACAAGGTTGCACCAAGCACTAAACTCAGTAGCTCAGGCAGCAAAGCTATAGACTACTATCCTTATGTGGAAACTACATTAGTGAAGCGCTGTCGGAAGCAATAATAACTTTGACACTAAACATTCTACCATGCCTATCCTCCATTTTTAACCGAAAGTTCTGTGACTACTTTGCTTCATTTACAGACCTGATTCATTTACTCATTCCTTACTCTTCCTCTCTCCTGCCCCATGTCTCTTTTTCCTCTTCCTATTTAGTGCTTGCAGCAGTGCTGTGAGTTGTGTTTTTCATGTGCAATGCTTTTCATTTTTGCAGCACTTGTGTTGTCGTACCCAAGTCAGTTTACGTATGGGCTGGTGCAATCCTCTGAAGTCTATATTATGATCTGCTGAATTTTTAAGTTTTCTATGGTATTGGTAGCCAGCTCCAAGCCTACCCATCTTAGTCTCCTCTCATATCAAACAAAAAGAGCAAGAGGTAAAGAATGATACAAGAGGCAGGACAACACTAAGAGATGGACAAACTGAGACAGTGTACAACCAAGACAAGAAACAGAGTGTGCTTGAGACCCACTGCAGCCAACCTTCATTGTGGGGATGGCACATGATTGCCTGCAATGGAGAGGTGGAAAGAAAGGAGCCAACCTACTTCAGATTTCATAGCCTAGAATATGTCATGGTCTAAAGCTTCATACAAGAAGGGCAATATCTGATATAGGACTAAATTACCCTTTTTAACAATTTGAATTAATTTGTTCTCAGCTATTATTCATTCTGCTGTTTACCAAATCATAATAATAATAGTTCAAGAGCACTGTATGTCATTGGGTCACCAGTTGCTGTCAACGGTTTGATCAGATCCTTCTGCCTCCGTCGGACAGATGCAGTGGACTTCTGGTCTGCATGTTTGAGTCCGGTCCAGTTGGCCAAGTTCTTATCCAGGTCTTTCTTGCTCTGCATCTTCTTCCCTTCTGCTAAGCCCTGTAGTACTGTTTTGGAGAAGCCTGTGGATCTAACTGCATGTCTATACAAATGCATTTTCCATATTTTCTCTGCTGTTAAAATGAGGTTCCGGTTTGCCAATGTCTTGGGTAAACTCTGCTATTTGTGATATGGTCTGTGTATGATATACCAAGAAATTTACAAAAAGATCTCATTTTCATTGTGTTTTTTCCTTTCGAGTTCAAAATTTAAGGCCCACACTTCACAGCTATGGTCACTGGATAGATGGAATCATTTAAATTATAAACTATTTTCCCTTACAAACTTTTACTAGCATGCTTATACACAATACAATTAACTCACATGTGCACACAAAAATAATGAGATTTCACACAAAAATAATGAGATTTCACACAAAAATAATGAGATTTAACACAAAAATAATGAGATTTAACTCTTTCAATACTAGCTAACTCACTGTGCATTTACTGGTTACTCTTTACACTAAATGCTTTTCCTAACCCATAATTCCTCATTTTCACTGTACATTAACCTATTTTGTTCAAAATGTCACTTTAAATCATTTTTTTACAACTTCCTGTATGGGTTTTGTGGTCCCCCTGTGGTGAAACAAGAATAGACACACTTTCTCGATGACAAGCATGTCGTAAAAGTCAACTAAATAAGGAGTTTCCTTCAAGGTCAGAGTGCATCTGACTGAAAGGCAACGAACCAACAGTCTACATACAAAAAAGCCAGATCTACAAAATGGAAGTGCAAGCAAAACTCAAGTTCTGTGATAAAACTAAAGTCCAAAAGTGGGCAAACTATAAGAACTTTTTGTAGCAGAATACAACCAATGAACATAAAGAAGAAGAAGACTATCTTTTAGTGTACAAATTGTTACAAGTATCTTTTGAGTAACAACAGTTTAGTATACAATGAGTTAAAGCAATGCCCAGCCAGTGAAAGAGTTCAATCTGTTTGTCACAACTTCACATTTTGTGCACAGCTGTTCTGGTGATAAACCTAGAGCCTCGGGCAACATTTTTCTGTGTCATTAACTTTGTTTGCTGCTGCAAGATAAAACTAGATCAACCATACACTAGCCATGAGTCATTAGGCTACTATAATAGAAGCTTCACCATTTTGTTAAACTAACCAATGTTGAATTTCCCATCACATTTTTTTTTCTCCCATTCTAAAATAATTCAATACTATTTATAGGGTTCATGATAAACACAAAATATTTCAATACTAATTATAGGGTTCATGATAAACACAAAATATTTCAATACTAATTATAGGGTTCATGATAAACACAAAATATTTCAATACTAATTATAGGGTTCATGATAAACACAAAATATTTCAATACAAATTATAGGGTTCATGTTAAACACAAAATATTTCAATACTAATTATAGGGTTCATGACAAACACAAAATATTTCAATACAAATTATAGGGTTCATGTTAAACACAAAATATTTCAATACTAATTATAGGGTTCATGATAAACACAAAATATTTCAATACAAATTATAGGGTTCATGATAAACACAAAATATTTCAAGTTGTGGAAGAGGGTCCTTTATTTCTAATTTAATTTTTTTTTTTACCAAAAAAAAAAAAAAAAAAAAAGAGTGAAAACAACTGCTACAGGAACCATTATCATCATCATGTAGTAGGTCCTTTGCAGAATGTCGCTCTCTTCACAGCCTGCCTGAAAGAAACTCGGTCTCTCACTAGCTCTCCTGCCTCAGGCACTTTCATATGAAAGAAGTCACTTATACCCTGTGCCCATCTCTGTGTTGGTCTGCCCCTGCCCCTCCTACTTGGTACCATGCCTTCTGCTAATCTTTTCTCCATTCCACTCATGGCACTTTATAAGACCAAATGTTTCAGTTTCTGAGACAAGATGCTATTTATAGTAGCCAATCTTCCTTAATTATCATATCTTTTAGAATGTCTACATTTCTTCTCTTTTTTGTCCATGGTATTCTAAGGATCTTCCTATAGCATTCCAGCTTGAAAGCCTCTATTTTCTTCCTCATGGACTGGGAGGTAGTCCCCGACTCACATCCCTATGTTGCTGTAGGAAAGATAAAGGCTCCTTAAGTTTTTAACTTTGATTTCCTTGCTAGGGCTTAACCACAGATTTTTAATGCTGTTTAATATTTGAACTGCTGTGGTCATCCTCCTTTTGAGCTAGAGGAACCACGGTAAGATAAATTTCCATAAAAACATGTGATGCAAGCATATTAGTTTCATATTATCTCGTAAATATGCTAGTCATGGACTATTTCACAATCACTATGGCAGAAAATTTGAGCTTCTGAAAATAAATTTTCTATGAAAATTCATATAGTATCATGGACCAGAAAGACCAAAAAAAATTCAGAAATTCTTCATGACCTGAATATCAAGGGGGACAGACTTATAAAAAGTATTGTTTGATGTGAACTTAAATACTTCAGTAATTCACCCCTTTTATTCTAAATTCATGAGTCCTGAAGCAGTTTTACATTTTTTTTTCCTTTAAAGATTATTTACAAATGTATTTATCCTCTTCTTCTTCTTCTTCTTCTTCTTCTCTACATCCTCTTTTACAATTTTGAGTGTTGAGGGAGATATAATGTTGTGCTTCATGTTCTTCTGGCTGATTCGACCATAGACACATCATGGTGTTGTAGATTTTCTCTGATATTATCATCCCGCTTTGTTCTTGGTCTACCTCTTACTCTACCCTCTTCTCCTCTTTTAGCATAGGCCTTGTATGGTACAGCATCAGAAGGCATTTCCCTACAAGTGGGCCAACCACTTGATTTATTTATCTTCATTTTTAATGTGTTTTTTTAATCAGAATACATAAAGATATTTAAAAGGAGTAATCAATAAACAAGAGCAGAGTGAAATATTAAATGTAATGCATTCACCGAGGCCTTTCACAAGAATGTATCAGGTTACTCATGCTATGACCCCATGACCTCTATCACTAAGGCTTATGGGAAAATTTGTAGTCAACCTAGCTCTAAAAAAGCTATTTGATTCCCAAGGAAACCCTTAGAAATGCTATATTTAGAGAACATATTTTTACAACCTAGCTCTAAAAAAGCTATTGGATTGTCAAGGAAACCCTTAAAAATGGTATATTCAGAGAACATATTTTTAGTCAACCTAGCTCTAAAAAAGCTATTAGATTCCCAAGGAAACCCTTATAAATGCTATATTTAGAGAAAATATTCGCATCCTACCCTCCTGAACACATTGCTGGTGCACACAGACCCAATACACTTTACAGCTAGGCTGTGATAACTGTGTCTTTTGAGGCAACATATATGATTTCAGCAAGCCCGTAATTATTTGCCTTTTATGACAAGCTTGTTAAGGGGGCAGTGGGTCCAGTACCCCCTCCCCTCCCCCTCCCCAGTAATGGAGCATCAGAACTCACATGGGGATAACTGGAGTCCGTTTTGGATAATGAAACAATTGCATGTAATAAAAACAGAACAAGAGAATAAACTGTGAGCCATAAGTACATCAATCTGAACTCACCTATACACTGTTCTTCAACACTTTTCCCTGATACACATGACTCCAAGTTTAGCAATATTTTCTGGCTGACCTCTGCAATCTCCTCCATGTTGCCCAGCAAAAAATCCAGATCAATTCCCGATGGTGGTTCCTTAGGAATCGATTACAGATCATGTGAAAAAAAACTGGCTATTTCCAAGACAAACGTGTTATGTTATTATGACAGTGATGTTATAAAGTAAACACTACGAAGACAGAGACAATGATGATAGGAAGACATAAAGACAATTTAGAAATTAAATTAAAAAACAACATCCTGAGACAAACAGAGGAATTTAAGTATTTGAGAGCAATTTTTACATCCTACGGAAAACTGGACAGAGAAATTAGCTCCAGATGTGCCAAAGCTAATCAAGTAATGGGTCAACTATCTCCCCTGTTGACACACAAGCAGATACCTTGGACTACTAAAGTGAATCTTATAAGAACTATTTTTTGGCCAACACTATGCTATCAATGCCAAACGTGGACACTTACATCCTCCAATGAATGTAAAATTGTGACAACAGGGATGAAATGCCTTAGAATAGTTGCAGGGGTTTCAAAGAAAGACAGAATACGAAATCATGAAATCAGACGAATGCTAAGAATAAAGTCAGTCTTACAGGTCATCAAAGAACAACAAATGAAGTGGTTTGGACACCTAACAAGAATGCCCTGGTACTATCCGCCACAGCGAGCCACACTAAAATGTTACAACGGGTATAGAGCAAGTGGAAGACCTCGGAAAATATGGAGTGATGGCATTAAGAACAGCCTTACAGAAATGAACATCAGTCTTAATAGTGCTCTTGACAGAGCTCATCGACGAACATTACATCTCCCCCCAAAACTTCGATGAGGTAAAAGGTGGAAGGATTAAACAATTCAGGGAAGGATTAAACAATACGTCCCAAGGACAGGGGTTAGCATATAAGCATTTAGATATATCTTAAGACATAATAATGGTATTCTGGATCACTTAAAATATCTGCAAACATAGACAATACAATTAATATAATTATTTGAAAGTACAAGTAAAATATAATTAACCTGAAAATCTATACTCCTACAATCTTATACATTTAATACATAAACTGTGCAATCTTGAATAACCAAACATAACTGATAGACATAAATATCCATTGTTGAAAAACAATTTTAAAAGCCTGTATATCCCAGTTATAACCTAGATGGATAGAGGAGAATACTTTTGTTTAAATTACTACTTCTTGCACTATGGCAGCCGCCCTAAATGCTCACCTGCAGATCTGAAGATCCTGGGTTCAGGCCCTGGCGGAGCCATACTTTTTTTTTTTTAATAACCTTGGCTTCCGGGTGGATCTAGCTTTAAATGTTTACAAGGTCAACTCCTAGAAAGTCATGTTGGCCAATGTGATGTTGACCACATCATCCACTGTGTGCCAACTGGTCTATAAAATATGTTTAACCCGATATGCCCAATACGCCTGAAGGCATGGGAAAGGGTATTTTACTCTTTACTTTTTTTTAAATTTTAAACTTACTTGCACTGCAGTAAAGGTTTACAATCACTGACTGAATTATGCCTGCGTCCGATAATTTTTACTTGAACTATGTTTGAGTCAGGTAATTTTTACTTGAACTATGTTTGAGCCAGGTAATCTTTACTTGAATTATGTTTGAGCCAGGTAATTTTTACTTGAAATATGTTTGAGCCAGGTAATTTTTACTTGAATTATGTTTCAGCCAGGTAATATTTACTTGAATTATGTTTGAGCCAGGTAATCTTTACTTGAATTATGTATGAGCCAGGTAATCTTTACTTGAATTATGTTTCAGCCAGGTAATATTTACTTGAATTATGTTTGAGCCAGGTAATCTTTACTTGAATTATGTTTGAGCCAGGTAATCTTTACTTGAATTATGTTTCAGCCAGGTTATTTTTACTTGAATTATGTTTCAGCCAGGTAATCTTTACTTGAATTATGTTTCAGCCAGGTAATTTTTACTTGAATTATGTTTCAGCCAGGTAATTTTTACTTGAATTATGTTTGAGCCAGGTTATCTTTACTTGAATTATGTTTGAGCCAGGTAATCTTTACTTGAATTATGTTTCAGCCAGGTTATTTTTACTTGAATTATGTTTCAGCCAGGTAATCTTTACTTGAATTATGTTTCAGCCAGGTAATTTTTACTTGAATTATGTTTCAGCCAGGTAATTTTTACTTGAATTATGTTTGAGCCAGGTTATCTTTACTTGAATTATGTTTGAGCCCAAAAATTATTACACAAATTATGTTTTAACTAGCAGCTAATATATTTAATTATGTTCAAGCTGACAGCATAAACATGAGTTATGCTAAAGCCTGACAGGTAATAAATTATATTTGAGCAATACAGTCAGTATCTGAATCGCATTCCACCCGGGTAGTTACCAACTGGACAGAACAAACATCATAAACAGTTGAGTTGAGTTGATGTCAAGAATTGACATCACAGCACTCGGGGAATTCCCACGCAAGCTCTGTCCTCATCTTCAGCAGCCAGCGCAGAGTTCCAATACTGATGGTACCGGTCACAATCTGGTTAAAAGTCCGTCTTGCCTTTCCTCTGAGTGTAGTGAGCAAGCCAGACCCTCTGGTTACACCCAGGTGCCTCATTCTCTCCAGGCCATAACCTTCTTTCTCATAAACACTGTACGGACTATGTAAGTGGATACTGATGACTCTCTTAAACTAACACGATTGCACGACATTGAAGTAAAGCGTGGTGAGGCATGTCTAAGATGTGTTCAAAGCCAAGATAGGAGACATTATAACCATCTCATCATAGGAACATTCAACAGAGGGACCTTGGAGTGCCTGCTGCATTTGCAGACTGAGCATGTATGGGAATGCCCACAGTACAGGGACGCCTATTGTTATAACATAACATAAGTTATTAATTGAATTCTTTCTCATTTAGATAGCCATTAAAATAATAACTAACTTTGAGATAAGAGGAAATGAACATATGTTTTCATTATAACTAATGATCTGTACAAACCTGGCCATCGTAAAATGTCTCTAAACACAGCTGTAGACACGCCAAATAATCCCTCTCTGTGTTAATGATTTCTTCAATGACTTTTTCTCTGTAGATTTTTCTCTTGGCTTTTTTCTTTCTTTCTTCCTCTTTTCTTACTTCTTCCTCTTCTCTCCTCTTCTCCTCATCCATTGCATGCTGAGCAGCCAGAAGCCTGGACTTTTCAAGTTTGGCATCTTCTGAATTGGCAGCAAGCAAGTTTTCTGTAAGGTATAGTTTTCTGGTTCCGTTACATTTGTTCACACATGAATAATATTGTTGACATCAAACAATTTCATCAATGTGTGTGCTTGTGTGTGTGTGGTGAGATTATGCAATAGGTAGGTATGTTTAAATGTACGTGTATATTTATATGTGTGGGCATGTGTGTGTGTGTGTGTGTGTGTGTGTGTGTGTGTGTGTGTGCTGGCATGTCCATTTGTGTGTGAGACAGAGAAAGACAGAGACACAGAAAGAGAAATGGGTAGAGGGTAGCAGGCTCTCAATCTGGTATGGTTGATTCTTCTTCTTTATTTCTTTTTTTTTTTTTTCAGTTATCTTCAGTGAGGTGTTGAGAGGTTTGCAAGAATCTTCAGTGTGTTCTTTCTAATGTGTTAAATAAGTTGATTTTCCAGTTTACATTACATAGTCCTAAGCATGTCCTAAGAGGCAACCAATTATTGGTGTTTCCTTCAAAGTCAACTCAAAACGGACAGTGCCACCCATAATCTTTGCATTTGAACTCAGTAAGTCACAGTGCCTTGTCCAACCTCTATATTTACACTCTTTTTAAGTAATAGCTACAGTACATGGGGAAATCAGAAAAAATCTGTTACAGTGATAAAATCATAAGACAAATTGTATGTAGTAAAAAAGTTGATTTTAAATAACTTTGGCTTCCTGGTCTACCCAGCCTAAAACAGTACCTGGTAATGTTCTAGGAAGTAAAGGCAGCTGGCGTGGTGTTGACCACATCACCCATCGAGTGCCCACTGGTCTATGCAAATATAGGACTAGCACCATATGCCTGACACAAGTCGCCTTGGTGTAGCAGCTAGATGCTCGCCAGCGAATCAGAAAGTCTTTAGTTTAAATCTAAACAGAGCTGGACTGTTTTCAAAAATGAGCTTTGAACGGGTACAAGGTGGAATCCTGGGAAGTAAAGGCAGCTGGCGTGATGATGACCATGTCACCCATCAAGTACTGATGGTCTATAAAATATAGGTCTAGCCCTATATGCCCAAAACAAATGATGGCGTGGACAAGGATAATGTGATTTACAATAGGCCTGATGTACTATAAACATGAAAGGAGTCGTTACACTTATTTTACATCTAAAAAATGAGTATTATTGCAATTACAAGTACAGTAGAACCTCACTTAAAGAGCACCTCATAACGAGTAATTCGCATAGTGAGCAAAACAAACTGTCAAAGAATGACTTGCTTAACGAGCGATTTTTCGCACATCGAGGGTCAGGAGAGGGGAAGTCCCGGATTGTGTGCATGTTACATCAGTCTGTATTTAGCACTTGTTCCAGTAGCATCATAGTGTCCCTTGTGATCACACATTTTCTCAGATTCGTGTTATACTGTGATATATGTTCATGAATCCTCCAGGCCTACAAGATTAACTCCCTGAAGAATTCAAGTTCATCAAGATCCAATTTCTGCCTCCCGACACCACTCCGTTACTCCAGCCAATGGACCAGCAAGTTATTTCTAACTTTAAGAAGCTCTACACTAAAGCACTCTTTTAGCATTGTTTCCAGGTGACTGAAGAGACCAACCTCACTCTCAAAGAGTTTTGGAAAAATCACTTCCACATCATTGTCTGCCTCAAGATGATTGACAAGGCAGGGGAAGGAGTTACCAAGAGAACCCTAACTTCTGCTTGGAAGAAGCTTTGGCCAGACAGCGTTGTCGATTTGTGACTTTGAGGGGTTCGAGACACCTGTGGAACCTGTAGTCAACGAGATTGTGTCTTTGGCCACTATCGTGGGATTGTAGGTTGATAACAGTGATATCGAAGAGCTTGTGGAAGAGCACAGCCAAGAGCAGACCACCGAAGAGCTTATGGAGTTGCATTGTGTTTCACAGCAAAGAAGGTTTGGAGGAAAGTTTGTCAGAGGAGGAGGAGGAGGTAACAGAAAAACAATCTTTTGATGAAATAAGTGAAATGCTGAAAGCATGGGAAACTGTTGCATCTTACATTGAGAAGCATCATCCTAATAATGAAGTGGCTATGTGCGCTGCAAATTTATTTAATGATAATGCTGTGCCGTATTTTCACCAAATTTTGAAGAGTCGGCAAAAACAAATGTCTCTGGACATCTTTATAGTAAAAAAAAATAATTAGCTATGTATAATAATTATTTTGACTTTTTGTTTTTTGCAAATCAAATTCACATTCCAGGTGGGTTCGTTCCACGTTTGAAGAAAAGATGAAGATGATTCACTCTCCTTAACAATATGTATGTAATTTTCTTTGAATAAACTGTTTACATAGTATTTTGTGAGTATTTTTTTTCGACGTGGAACGCATTATCGTATTTTACATTAACTTATATGAGAAAAATTGTTCCGCATAACGAGTGTTTCGCTTAACGAGTATGATTCTGGAATGAATTATGATCGTTAAGAGAGGTTCCACTGTATTAGTATATATTCAATAAGTTAAAATGACACTTATTAAAGCAATCAATAGTTACATAATAATTGTAAATACATTAGCTGTAAACATACTGCAGCTAAAACATTCTCAAAAACTTTCATTAAATTACTTGCATTCTTAACAATACTAAAGTAAAAGTAAAGTAAAAGTAAAGTAAAGATCCCCCTTGACGCTTTTAGGGGCTTCTGGCATATGGGAAAAACATCCATATTTTTACAGATCGTCTATACTTCCACAGGACATAGATCCTGGTACCCATTTTAGACTGGGTCAACCTGCGACGCCCCATACCATGACAGAAATCCATGCAGCCAGAAGTTGGTTTCGATAAACAAAACTAAAGGTGTTAAATAGTAATACATTTTATATGCCATTGTGAAGTATTCAATGTGAAACAATATCTTAGAATAATACTTAAAATACTTTAAAGTGACAATGTTTGAATATCTAATGTTTAATATTAAATACATTTTAAAATGTATTAATCAGTATTATAATAAAATTGGGTTTAAATAAAAATTTTTTTAAATAGAAATAAAGGCTGTTTGGTAAATGCATAGTATTTAAACTGTCTTTGTTATTCTTTTAAAAAACGATTATGTTACATGCATGGTGGGATTTTTTCCACTGGTTTATCCAGTAAGCATAGTCATATGTTAAATGTACTTCTATGTAACATATGAAATACTTTGTTCGTATTTTATTTATTTCAATACTAAATATCTCTTGCGCATTTTAACAAACTATTTAATCAAACAAAAAATAAAGAACCTAGTAAAAATAACTTAATGCAAATATTATGTCTTAATATAAAATGAACATTATGTGTGCGATATCATCATGCATGAGGGTGGTGCAAAAAAAACAGCATGCACTGAATAATTATAATATTCATTCCTTATGTATAGAAAACACATTCATAAAATGTACTTTACTCTGCATGAAAACAACTTTCAAAAGATGCAGAATCGTCAGTACATAACGCCTTTACAAAGACATGATATGCTACATTCTAGTACTTTATTCTCTCAACAGCATAAGTGCTAACCTGAGAAGTCAATGCAGTCCATGTAATACTGCTTATATTAGTCTGTGAATTATCCAGTAATCAAAATAAAATTATAATGCCTATCCTTTATGTGACATGTTTTAGAATAACTTTATTAATATTTTATATATCTTCTTCTTCTTTTTCCTCCTCCTCCTCCTCATGTTCACCATTGAAAGGTTTTGGTTGTTCATCCACTTCTAGACTTTAGACTTGTTCCAGAACTTGAGTTTTATGTGCACATCCATTTTACAGATATTCCCCAGCTGTATGAGACATATGTGATAAATGACACACTAAGTTTGTATATATAAAGATCAATGCCCACTTGATGGCTGAAGTGGCTAATATCAAGTCAGTCACTTTTACTTCTCAACCATCTCCTGGTGCCTATTTTAGGCTAGACTAACCTGAGAACCCAGGACAATTTTACGATTAGAAGTACTGACCCAGTATTTTCCTTTGAGAGTAACACATTCTCTATGTGTTAAATAGAGAATATTACATCATAGCATTTTACAAATCTACACCTAATTAATCCTAGACAACAGTGATCTGTGTTACAGATCCATGAAACTGACAGCTGTCAATCACCTTCAAGTCTGCTTTTCTCCTGCTGCAAGACAATTAATTGTTTTTCTAGGAAATCCAGAGTGCTTTTAGTCTCTGTCTGCTCCTCCTGACTGCCATCTTGTTCCACGCTCTTTTCCAGATCTGCCCTTGTCTTTTCATATTTCTATGTAACAAAAATAGACCACTTAAAAAAGTATTTCTCTGTTATAAAATGTGTGCTAATAAATATTTTTTAGCATTTTTTTTAAAGTGAATCATGGTTCTGTTTTCTATTTGCCATAAAATTCAAATAAAACATACAATTCTATTATTAAATATCACTCTTCTAATAAATATGAATTTTCCAAATTACTGTAAGAAGTTAGGAAACAGGGTTTTGTATGAGCTCTCCACCCTTGACCAAATACTCAAGACATGTGCATTCATCAAACATGTTTAAACTAACAGAAGAAGGTGCAGTGGCTGGTACAGTATCTGGATCAGTATTTGACAGCAGTAACTAGACTGCTTGATTTGGGTACTCTCATACATATCCAATCTTGAGTCAGACCACAGCATACCCTAGTAAGATAAGGCTTCCCTCTGTCAGCTCCAGGGGTCCTTTTGGGGGGAAGGGGTGGCGATGGACAGATAAGACCTACTGTGTCCTCACAAGAATGTCATAAATGATGACTAATTAAGGATTTGCTGAAATCAGACGTGTTGGGCAGAAATGTGTACATATTGCAGCCAACTTGTAAACCACAACATAATTTCCAACAACCTTTTTCAGAATGAAAACATAAGAAGACAAGGCTAGGTAACTAGTCATAAGGTGCACAAAAGCACTCTGGTTGTTTCCCATGCATGTAACAGAAATATGTTTGTGTCTAATATGCCCTTTTTGTTAAACATGTAGCAGATGCTTTGCGGAATGGCACTTACACCACGAACCTTTGCGGAATGGCACTTACACCACGAACCTTTGTGGAATGGCACTTACACCACGAACCTTTGTGGAATGGCACTTACACCACGAACCTTTGTGGAATGGCACTTACATCACGGACCCCTAGAAAGCGTCCCAATCTCTTGCCAATTTTTCTATATAATATATTTTCACTTCCAAGGTGGCGTCAATATGTTGTATCCACTTTTATGATGGTCAGCCCTAGCCTATTGCTCCAGGTAACCATTACTATTCAAACTCCCTCAAGCACCCACTGCCTAGCTAAAAATATTTCAAATTACAAAATGCAGGCAATTGTTAAATATTAAACAGAAATTTAGAACAAACTGGGAAGGGAGTGGGTATCTTTTAAGTGAATCAGGTAAAAGTTAATAAACTGAAGGAGTCATTGGGGACCCAAGACTTCTCAACATCATAGCACACCAAGATACTGATGACCTCTGACCAGGCTACGATGTTGTGTTAAACTGTGACTCCTAGCAGCACTAGGCGAAGAAGAAAACAAAGTTGTTTTTATTCATAGCTATACAAGTCGCCCCCATATGGGATGCAATTTTTCTTTATTTTAAGTCCCACCCTGGCTTTTCCGGGGGCCCTGAAGATGGCTGGGCCATAAATATGGCCTAAGGGCTAAAAAGGATTTCTGGGACCTCTCCACAGGTCATCCTCATCCGCATGGTGGCACTTTATGTCACCAGATGTTTATCACTTGTGTGATGTCCTGGTGGGGTACAACAAGAAAGAGAGAGAGAGAGAGAGAGAGAGAGAGAGAGAGAGAGAGAGAGAGAGAGAGAGAGAGAGAGAGAGAGAGAGAAAGAGAGAGAGAGAGAGAGAGAGAGAGAGAGAGAGCAAAGTTAAAAGACAAGTAAGTTGGAAAGAATTTATTTTTTCAATCTTTAGATATTACACAAGCTAGTCTTTAGCTCTGAAATATCTTACAGTTCTCATTACCTCCCAAAAAACAAATGTTGCATGTGAGTTACTCAAGTTTCAAATTATGATAGACTTAAACTGTCTGTCTGTTACAGAGATCCACAAATGGAGTACAGAACAAAATCACTGCTGACTGTCCCTGAGTCAGTAATCGAGAATACTGACGCCCAAATAATAGCCTTCCCTAAATAAATTACTGGAAATGGTTACACTCCCCCCCCCCCCTTTCCCCCATTTCCAAACACTTGTCTTCCCTCAGTGAATAATTAAGAATATTAACATATTTTAAAAAAAAGGCATTTTAACATCAAAATCCTGCCAATCTCTAAACTAATTATTAGGAATATGCACTTCAGAGTTCTGGCCATCTCTAAAGGAATAAGTATGAATACTTCCTTGAATAAACTACTTTAACTGTTATAGAACCCTGATGTCCTGAGAAAAAAAAAAAAATTTTTTAATAAACTATAGTAAATTGTTTAAAGTTAGTTACATGTCATAAGAGGCAGCCAAGGAGGGTTGGCATGAGACTAGATCATCATGTAGAAAACTTTAGTTTTAAAATTCTGCCAATTATGAACAAGTCTATAAAGGGCTTAGCTTGCAATATTTGAGGATAAATGTTTCATTTGTCGATGAAAGTGGAAAGATGACACATTGCTCTCATTCCACATTTGAGTAAAATATATTTTCATAATGATATGTCTTCCCTATTCATTTATTATACTTAACAGTACAAAATGCAGAGAATTTATTTGTTTTGCACCAATATAGAAGTGAAAAATAAGTATCAAAGTATGTGATATGACTTGATAAGGGTAAATGTTCTAATTTTAGTAGACATACCATCATCCTTTCATGCAGTAATATTAATAATGAAATAGTTGAAAATCATAGCAAGTGACAAAACAAATTAATGTATTGATTACACACATCATTACAACAGATTCAAGAATTCCTGGGTTCTTTGCAAATTTAAGTATCTAAAATGTTATTATAAAATTGTAACTTTATGTACTACATTTTGCTGATATCAGACAATAGGCTAACCGCTATTCCAACTTCATAGCAAACAGGTTATCCCATTGTTGCTCCATTCCATTGCCAGTAAAAACTTTGTAAAATATCCATTTCTGTTCCTGGGGGGGGGGGGGGGGGGGGGGGGGGGGGGGGGGGGGGGGGAAACAGGTTATAGACTCAGCAAAGCATACATACACACACACATTAAACGCATAAGGCGGCTGTTAGACGTGACCAACTAAAAATCCTTAATTTGAACTAGTGGGTTCATCATTCATAGAAGCAGCATTTACAATTGACAGAAGGTGCACCACATACTGATATTATTAATTCTTCTTTCGTTAATTCTGACATTTATAATTTAAACATCTGTAAACTGTTGCAAGAAAAAGGGTACCGCTTTGTGGAATGAAGAAGTCAAAGAAGCAGTGTCAAATAAAAAGAAGATGTTTCAAATATGGTTAAAAACAAAAGACGAAAAGGATTACATTAGGTACAGACTAACTCGAAGAGACACCAAGAGAACAATAAAGAAATCCAAAGAGGATTCATGGAAAAAGTATGGTGAACACCTAACACAGCTATGTACAGAATCATCAAGAGACTTTTATAAGAGTGTGAAAGCGATGCGATTAAGAGAAGAAAGCTTCAATCCAACATCAGTCATAAATGATAAAAATGGAAAACCATTATTCAGCCAAAAAGAAATTTAAAAAAGATGGGAGGAATATTTTAAAGAACTTTGAACCCGTCGGGAGTACATGAAAACAGCAGAATTCCATTCAAGGGCTCCAGATCATCTAGAACCACATATCCTGCGGGATGAGGTAGAGAAAGTTATCAAAACAAGTAAAAGACACAAAGCAGCTGGTATCGACGGAATAACAACAGAAGTCATCCAGGCTGGAGGGGACACTATGATCACCTGGCTGGAGAGAATTTTCAATAGAGCATGGGCAGAGAGAAAGGTACCAGTGGATTGGCAAAGATCAGTTGTAGTACCTATCTGGAAGAAAAAAGGAAACAAGAGAGAATTTTGAACTTATAGAGGAATATCTTTACTAAGTCATGTGGGGAAAATGTATGCAAAGATCTTAGAAGGTAGGATAAGAGCAAAGGTTGAACCTCTACTGAGTAAAGCACAATTCGGTTTCAGGAAAGGGCGAGGTTGCACTGATGCCATATTTGCACTTAGACAAGTCTGTGAAAAGACACTCGAATACGATAAAGAGCTGAACGTGGTCTTTGTAGATCAAGAGAAGGCATTCGACCGTGTGGACAGAGATGTGCTGTGGAGAATTCTTGACGATTACGGAGTGCAGGGTCAATTATTAGACAACATCAGAGCCCTCTATGAAAAAAGTGAAAGTGCAGTAAGAACATCTAGTGGTCTTTCTGAATGGTTCAAAGTCACAACTGGTGTCAGACAAGGATGTGTACTGTCACCATTACTTTTCATAACATACATGGATAAGATCACTGTAGAAGCAAACCCAGACGTGTATGCTATAAACGAATTACTTTTTGCTGATGATCAAAGCATACTGTATCAAAATGAATATGATCTACAGGAACATCTGACTACTCTCAATAACAGCTGTTTACAACATAATATGAGAATCAGTACAGAAAAAACAGAAGTTATGAAGATCAGCAGAACACACAGGCCACTGAATATAAATGTTGGAAGTGCCAAAATCAAGCAAACCAAAGAGTTCAAATACTTGGGCAGTATATTTACAGAGGATGGAAGAATGGACAGAGAGATAGAAATAAGAAATAAGAATACAGAAAGCAAATGCTGTCACATACCAACTATCACCTCTGCTTAAACATCCAGATATAACCATGAAGACCAAAAGACAATTGATAAACACCATCTTCATTCCAACACTCTGCTACCAGTGCCAGACATGGACAATCAACAAGACCCATGAAAGAAAAATAGAAGCCTGTGAAATGAAATGTCTAAGAAAAGCAGCGAATAAGAACAGACTAGACAGGATAAAGAACATAGACATTAGAAACACTGTCAAAACTACACCATGTTTAGACTACATAGAACATCAAAGAATGAAATGGTTTGGACATCTAACCAGGATGAAAAATGACCAAATAACATCACAAATTTTCAACCAAAGAAGCTCAGGATATAAGGCAAGAGGAAGACCAAGGAAACGGTGGATTGACGGGGTCTCCGAAACCTGCCAAAAGCATGGCCTCAGAACATCAGATGCTGCCCGCCTTGCTTATGACAGGAACTTGCATCTCCCCACAACGCTTAGCGGCATACGTGGAAGGAAAAAGTAAAGTAAAGTAAAGTGAACTGTTAGTAGCAGTGTTTTCCTAATATCAACGAGGAGTTGTCAGAGGATATGGCTGTTGCTCACAACTCAAGGGAAAGGTGAGACTGATATACAAACAGACAGTTACTGGTGCCAGCGGAATTGGAACTCTTGGTTTGCTGCTGAAGATGGGGATGGAGCGCTTATGGGAGTGTCCAAGTGCTATGATGTCGATTTTTAATTCAACATTCAAAATTCTTAACATTAACGTTACCATACTTATTCAATGGATACACAGACAAGAAACAGCCTTGGAGAGAAACACAGAAGGGAGAGGCATAATGATGAAGGTGAACTTGACTGTCAAAAAGTGGAAAAAGCCGGGCTGCAGAGAGAGAGAGAGAGAGAGAGAGAGAGAGAGAGAGAGAGAGAGAGAGAGAGAGAGAGAGAGAGAGAGAGAGACAATGGAAGGGTGAAGAAACAAAACAGTGAGAGTCATATCTTACACACAACAATGGCGCCAGAAAGCTGAAATGGTTTATTTGCTTCAGCTCTGGACAATTATGCTGCCCTGCTTAGTTGTAGTTATATAGTTGTTATAGTATATATGTAGATATAGTCTAATCCTCACCGGTGCTACGGAGTTCGTGCACTGTGCTGAGATTATTCAGACTCAGGCTTGAGTTAGAAGTAGAAAGGAGCACTTATGGGTTACTACCCAAGTGCCATGATGTTGATCCATTTTTAAGCCTAAGTTGTAGTTATACATATTTTTCTCCTGACGAAAACAACTGTTAATTAACCCCTTCCTATTCTGGACTGTGTATGTTCCTCATTCTGTTGCTCTCCACAGCTGTAAGTTCCTTGTACCTTAAACAGCTGTTAACAAACTCCTGTTCTGTGCCGCTGTTAGTGAACCTCTTCCTGTTCTGCACAGCTGTAGGTTTCATCTGACCCAGAACAACTGTTAATAAACATTCTCTGTTTACACAGCTGTTACTCAATCAACCTCCTGCATTTAACAGCCAACCCATGTCATCCCTCTCTCATACTTTACTGTAACGTAGCACTGAGGCATAGTTGAAGCAACTGTATGATCTACTAAGTAACCACAGCAACTGTATGATGTACTAAGTAACCACGGCAACGGTATGATCTACTAAGTAACCACGGCAACTGTATGATATACTAAGTAACCACGGCAACTGTATGATGTACTAAGTAACCACGGCAACTGTATGATGTACTAAGTAACCACGGCAACTGTATGATGTACTAAGTAACCACTGCATCTGTATAATGTACTAAGTAACCACTGCAACTGTATGATGTACTAAGTAACCACGGCAAATGTATGATCTACTTAGTAACCACGCAACGGTATGGTGTACTTAGTAACCACGGCAACTGTATGATGTACTAAGTAACCACGGCAACGGTATGATGTACTAAGTAACCACGGCAACGGTATGATGTACTAAGTAACCACGGCAACGGTATGATGTACTAAGTAACCACGGCAACTGTATGATGTACTAAGTAACCACGGCAAATGTATGATGTACTAAGTAACCACGGCAACTGTATGATGTACTAAGTAACCACGGCAACTGTATGATGTACTAAGTAACCACGGCAAATGTATGATGTACTAAGTAACCACGGCAACGGTATGATGTACTAAGTAACCACGACAACTGTATGATGTACTAAGTAACCACGGCAAATGTATGATGTACTAAGTAACCACGGCAACGATATGATGTACTAAGTAACCACGGCAACGGTATGATGTACTAAGTAACCACGGCAACTGTATGATGTACTAAGTAACCACGTGAAGATGTTGGGAGTCGCTTGGTACACAATGCATGTGGGTGTTTTCCTTTTGCAGGCTGGATGACTCTTCAAGTGGAGCACGGTAAAGTTAATCATAGCGAATACCACAAAGTTTTTTTTTTTTTTTTTTAAAGCCCGACATGTGACACATTTGTCATCAGCATGTGACAAAAGGTTTTAAAAAGAAATTAACAGATGACATCATGTTCTGTTTGACAGGGTGCAA